TCCTGAACCGTGTTAATTTATATATATATTTTGTTGCATTTACAAAATCTGCACATAACATAAATGCGTAAAGATCCGCGGTCTAATTATTAACATTAATTCTATCACCGTCGATCGGTTTCATATTTTATAGTTAACAATTACTAAGGTTATCAACATATGTCCATGGAGAATGATTCAACAAATTCCTTTTTCTAATAATATTTGTTAAGATATTCAATATTGTAATTTTTCTAAAGCTCCATTTATTTTTAATGTCTAGTTTATCAGCATATTAATTATAAATTCGCATAGAATTGAGAAATGTTTCAAATAATTTAGAATCAACGCTTTTAGCTTTAGTGATTTTTCTCGTTTGGGACGATCTACTCTGTTCTGTAACATTGTGCAATGTTGCGTCCTCGCGGTACAAAGTACGTTTTGGGTGGATTAGAAAGAAGTTTGGGTAAAAAGTGGAGGGACATTATGCAGCTACACCTCCACGCGTAATTTCGTTGGAAGTTGCTGTCCTGTGGCTATGACCACGATCGTGCTCAAAATCTGCTAAGCTAACGAGTCTCGAGCTTCCGGTGGCCAACACTAATTAGAGGACTTTCCGGTAAACTACAAATAGCTAAACACAAATTTGTTTTGCGATCGATATTGTCAGCCGCCCTAAGCGTCGAATTTGCTTCGTTGGAATTTCATATTTCTAACGTCATTAAAGTCTGACCGCATAAATAGTTCAGCCATACATTATTACGGAGTAAACAACTCTACTTGGTTATGCGGTCTCTTTTTAGATTATAGTTCTCGAAAAATGCAACTTTTTTAATTACAAAGTTAGACGTCGAAACGAAAACATCAAAATGATTGCAAAACATACAAATTATTACAAAACAGAAAAATTGTCACAGAACGTAATAATAATTAAAGAACATAAGAATGATTATAAATTGTTATAAAAATTTCAAGAAAACTTCAAAAATTACTACAAAACATAGAATATGTATAGAAATCTATTTCACTATAGGTAAAACGGTTCATAAAAACTGTTGAATTTCAATAAAAATCAAAATTCAATCAATCAAATCAAAAATCAATCTGTGGCAAATGGTTTTTTTATGTTTCGCCTAATATGATTCAATCGATATATAATGAAACGTAAAAATATTACGTAAAAATATTATACAGTTATGTAAATATGTTTGCAGACATCGGACACACTTAAGTTATTTATCTTCTCACACATTTTCTCATTAGCTTCTTTTCACTTCGACAATAACCATCGAGGTTGATCTTCCTACAACACGATTGTTTCCTCATTCCAAACGTCCTTGCGACCGGTCGTGGGTGTCCTGCAAACGTTACCGAAGCCCGATGTACATATGCGCGACGTTTCCTAGAAAGAAAAAGAAACTTTATATTTACCGCATGCCACGTATACGGTGACAGCTTTTTCATTTGGATTTAATCATCCACCGGAGAAAGACCAAATTTGGGTCGCTGCCCGGGTTGGACTTTAATTTACAATTCGATCTTTACAATTTAATTGGAAGTTCTCCTAAATCAAATTAATGTATAATTAAATTAATAATAAAATAATAAATTATATTAAATTATTAATTATATAAAAATAATAAATTATATTGAATTATTAATTATATTAAATTAATAAGTGACTAATAATGTATAATAAATAAATAATATTAAAATAATACAAATTGATGCTTTTATTTCCTATAAAATTTCCATCGGATCGATTATTTTCTCAAAAATCTAATAAACTAAATAGAGTGAAAAAATTCATATAAATTTTATCTTCCATAAAATTTTGAGTAAATCAATGATTCTCTTAAAATGTTCAGTAAATCAATGATTCTCGTAAAATGTTCGGTAAATCAATTATTTTCTTCGAATTTCCAGTATAAATTCATTACCCTCTGAAAACTCCATTAAACGAAATCGATATAGGTGTAATCGAAATTCATATTTCCTCCCCTCGTGCGCGTCTACCTTTTTCATGTTCCCGGAACATTTCGCTCCGTAAAATCGACCCTCGAAAAACGACTTGGAACGTCGCGTAGGGAGTACATACGTTTATTGTGTGTCCTTATCGTAGTTTTTCATAGACAGCATCTAGAACTGGGACACGTGGGCCAAGTTTGCCTTTCGCGAAGCCCGAGGCACGTACGATCGAGCCACTTTTATCGGTCGCACGTTGCGTAGGTGCGAATGAACGCCGTCTCACGAGCCGTAAGGTATCGAATCATCGATAGACCGTTGCGCATACAGGTTGCACTTGTACTTGCACCGGCGTTCGTAGCCGTTGTTCGTCCGTCTCGCGTGTCCGACGCGAATATAATATACGAAACGGTCACGTGCACGTTGCGCGAGGCGTGGTGTTGCTCGATATATCGACCGTTCATCCACCCTCGGGATCGTTTTATCAAGGATCCCTTCCCGCCTGCCTCGTATTTCCACAGACTTGTAATTTCCCGGTAAGATATCACGGCTCTGTTCCTGCTGTATCTCTCAAGGATTTTTCTACTCTGCACGCCGACCGATGCTCAATCTTATCTTCGTTCCTTATTTTGGTCTTATGGTAATTCCGCCCGGGCCCGCGCGTTCTACATTCGAAGCTCCTTTCGTCGGCGAAAAAATTTAATTACGGCCGGTGCGCTCGATCGAACTCGTTCGATAGAACTCCGCCAGCTTTCTCCATCGAGTCGATTATTTTCTGAAAGATCTAACAAATTAAATTAACGTGAAAAAGTCGAAAGAGTATAAAAAGCCAAAATTAAGTCAAAATTGAAGTCAGAACTCGTTTAAATTTTGTCTCCCATAAAATTTTTAGTTAATCGACGATTCTCTTAAAATCTTCAGTTGGATTAAACATGGAAAACCAAAGAATTTTCATTGCTGCAAGAGATTTGCGATCTCTGAATTCTGGAGAATTGCAAATGCAACGCTGCACTCGACTGCAATCTAGAATCCATTGGACAATATTTTCTAAACTTGTCAATGTGTACAATGATTGATTGCTCGCGGACTGTTTATGAATAATCTGTTTACACCAACTTTATTGCTAACAAAATTATTGCTACAATTTGTATTGCTATACAGTATGCGATGTGTTTACATTACAATTACGTGTAACAAACTGATACAAATAATTCAATGATAAATTTTGAACAGGCAAACATCTCTTTGTTACAGATCCTTTGGACCGCTCTTTCGGTTGCTCTAGGTGTCGAATTAAGGGGCGACTTGATACGCGGTGTGCCGTGTATCAAAAAGTTTCACCAGCTGTTCTGCCCAACTGCCGGAAACGCGTACCCAATGTAATTATTAGAATAAGTGTCGTAATCTGAAATGAAATTAGGTGCTCCGATCGGAATCAATACTACTATGCTCTTGAAGTAAAATTAATTTATGCGACCGAAATATACATAGGTTCACGGAATATTATTACTATTATTAATATCTTGATTTCAGCTTCGCAGTTGCGCAATTTGAACTCGGCTCACGATTTCATTATACAGATTCATCTGATGTCACACATTCTTTTCTTCTTCATTCTCGCCAATTAAAACCTGAAATCTAACGTTTATTATATCATATTTCATTATCTCCTATTATATTATATTGCATTAAATTACATTAACCTACTTTCCACTGTGCTATAGTATAGTATACTATGTTCCAGTACGTTATTTGGAAGCAACTTTACTCATCTTCTTTTCTTAAACTATTTAATTTATTTAATACAAAGGTTTTCCAAATGAAATATTCAAATCGATGATCGAAATGAGTGAACGTTCAAGCACTCGCAGATAATTATGTTTCGCAATATTCGGTGACAATGAGCCCGCTAGAAATTATAATTATATTCTGCTATTGATCTATTAATTATAGTCCGCTTTATAATTATATATTTCGTGCGAAATATAGTAAGAATGGCGGAGAAATAATGGACAACGGTAGGAGACAGAATAAAAGCAATGCGATTAAAATGTTCCCAGAGAGCGGATAGAGCGTTTTATTGATGAAAATAAGGCGTTAATGAGGAGGATGTACGGCGACTTTGAAATGAGCTCGGGATATGGTCCACCGACGAGAGAACCCGGCCATCGGACACGCAGGAGAAGAAAAAGCAGAGAAGCTAGAAAACACGACCACCCGGACGGCGGGCCTAGTCTTCGAGACACGTTAGATCCGGATGCCGGGACCAACGGCGGTGACTCATTTTTCGCTCACATCAGAAACACCAGAAATCCTAGGCAATCTCCTGGAAAGAGCCAAAACAACGAGAGCGGAAGGTGAGGCAACACGAGAACTTCAGATACCATTGTCCAACAAATTCAATCCTTTGAGAACGAATAACCGACGTAGCGAAAACATTATGTTTCTGTGTAGTATGTTACTTTAGACATTGCGAATACATTATTTGATTGCGTACAGTCGCGTCGGATAGTATGCTGACGCCTCTTAAAGCGCAATAATGTTTTTCAAACTTGACTAAACGACTCTAATTTTTTATCAGGTGATAGAGGAATTAGTTTACTAGATAGTGATAAAAATATCCTTTTTTAATTTTATTATAACTTGTTTAACTTTCGTTTATTTTTACGGTTTTTGTATTTGACCTATTCATTCTTGTCATAAATCCATACAATTCTGTGCCTAGTTATATTCATATAGTAATATAATATTTATATCAATTAATATTCATATTAATATTCATATAATAATATTATATTCATATATATAGCAATATTCATATTAATATTCCTGTCTCTTATACACATCTAGATGTGTATAAGAGACAGGAATATTAATATGAATATTAATTGATATAAATATTATATTACTATATGAATATCTGTCTCTTATACACATCTAGATGTGTATAAGAGACAGGAATATTAATATGAATATTAATTGATATAAATATTATATTACTATATGAATATCTGTCTCTTATACACATCTAGATGTGTATAAGAGACAGGAATATTAATATGAATATTAATTGATATAAATATTATATTACTATATGAATATCTGTCTCTTATACACATCTAGATGTGTATAAGAGACAGGAATATTAATATGAATATTAATTGATATAAATATTATATTACTATATGAATATCTGTCTCTTATACACATCTAGATGTGTATAAGAGACAGGAATATTAATATGAATATTAATTGATATAAATATTATATTACTATATGAATATCTGTCTCTTATACACATCTAGATGTGTATAAGAGACAGGAATATTAATATGAATATTAATTGATATAAATATTATATTACTATATGAATATCTGTCTCTTATACACATCTAGATGTGTATAAGAGACAGGAATATTAATATGAATATTAATTGATATAAATATTATATTACTATATGAATATCTGTCTCTTATACACATCTAGATGTGTATAAGAGACAGGAATATTAATATGAATATTAATTGATATAAATATTATATTACTATATGAATATCTGTCTCTTATACACATCTAGATGTGTATAAGAGACAGGAATATTAATATGAATATTAATTGATATAAATATTATATTACTATATGAATATCTGTCTCTTATACACATCTAGATGTGTATAAGAGACAGGAATATTAATATGAATATTAATTGATATAAATATTATATTACTATATGAATATCTGTCTCTTATACACATCTAGATGTGTATAAGAGACAGATATTCATATAGTAATATAATATTTATATCAATTAATATTCATATTAATATTCATATAATAATATTATATTCATATATATAGCAATATTCATATAATAATATTATATTCATATATATAGCAATAATATTCATATAGCAATATTCATATTAATATTCATATTAATAAAACTTATCTTAGCGCAGGAAGTAACAAATTTTGTTACTACAATTAATTAAAAAATAGACTATCGTAATAGGCAGCTACTACAATGAATTAAAAGATAGAAATCAAGATTTTAACAGTTTGCACTGTTTTTCGAGGATTATCGCGAACATGAAATGATCTTTTATTCACACTTCAACAGTGTGATGGCATTTTTATTTGGCGTTGTTATCGATTGGTACCAAAAAGAAAACAATTTCTGTTGCGCGATGCAGTTTTCAAGTAAACAGGATGCACGAAGAATCGAATTTCGGCTTTTTCAGAGTTGATGCATGCGAATCTAAAGTCGAAATCGTGACGCCGTATTGGGCGAGCAACAGCGCTGGAAAAATTCGTGCGATTGTGAACACACAGCACTTCGAACAGGCTATTCACCAAGAAGTTTGCTCGTAAGTATACGTCGGAATGCGTTTCCAACCGCAGAGAAAACTTTGACACCGTACACCTTAACTTGTTATTTATTTACGTCACGAATGCGATAGTTTCGCTCGAAGATCACGACCAGAAAATAAATGGAAATCTCATTCCAACCATACTTCCTGAAAAAAAACTTGTCGAAACTCTCAAGAATATGCCAAAATTTTGGCTGCATCTTTATTACACATTTCGTACATTTCTTTCTTAAAAAAAGAACTGTTGTTCATAAAATGTTTAAAAATCCGTGTAGACAAATTTTGCTGTCATTCTACCCTTATTACATTTTGAGTACAACTTGTATATCCGATGATAAATTTTGCTGTCATTGTATTTCAATTACATTTTTAATTAAATGCGCCAATTTTGTTTACATTTTAGAACATCGTCGTTCGGAAAATCTAAAGAAATCGTCGTAGATAAATGTTGCTGTTAGTACATTCTTAGTATATTTTTTATTACACTCTTATCACATGCTTTTTTTATTCTTAAGTTTCTTATGCGTATAATTTTCGGACTTTCTTTAGATGTCTCTTTGAAAATCCGCGTTAATTTATTTGATAAATATTTCTCCTTAATATTAATATTACTATTTGCATCGACCATTTTGCGACACAGAATAATTGTTGTCAGAAAGAAGAACGTTTTCATTTCTCTGTGAATGATAAACTTTCCACGCGCGAATTCTCTGCCTTATATTTTAACAAACATCTGAAATCTAAATGTTATTTTCTCATATTAAAGTTACTATTTGCACCACCGCAGAATAATTATTGACCGAAATGCATTTTCATCCCTTTACGAATAATAAATTTTATACAAACGTTCCGTCTAATATTTCGACAAATATTTGAAATTTAGATATCGCTTCTCGATAACACTGTTACTCTCCAGAATCGTTCTACGATACGAAACAATTATTCGCGGGTCGACGCTGGCCGTCTTTCTTAATCGCGAATATTCCGTCGCGCTTTGACCTTTCCGGATCCTCGGATAAAGAGAAGAAAGCATAAATAATGGGCTACTCAGAGGAGAAACGTTTCTGTTACAGGAAAACACAAACGAACCGTTGCACCGGCGATTGTGGCTGCGAGCAGAAGTACAAATGGCACCGATTACTCGCGTACGATCCTGATAACGACTGCAAAGGAATCTTCATGGACTGGTTCCTGTTCCCTTCTTGCTGCGTCTGCAGATGCGACCCGGTCGCTAACAAATTTTCCACCTCGAATGCTCGCAATTGAAATGATTCCTCCGGAGCGAGCGTATCCGCAGGTCGCCATGGTTGTATTTGAAATTCAGTCGCAGTCACGACAGGAACTGCAGTGCCACACACGAATTGCTACTTCCGTTGAGTCGTCGAGCTGTTTTGTATTTCCGCTCGTGCCGGTGTGTTCTTGCAGGAACCGGCTGAATTTATTCGAGATTCGGTTGCTGTCCCTCTCGCCGCGACACGTTATTCCGACGCTGGAATACACGACACGTCGTCCTTCTTCCAATTAAAATCACTCGTTTCTACGCTTAAGCTGATTAAGCAGTCCGCAACATTAAGTCTACGATCTTGGCTATTTGTAGGTTTATCCGCGGTAATTTCTCCCCGATTCGCGCTCGGATTGCGCACGAAAATGGACAATTTGGGAAGAGAAGATGCGATTAGTCGAGCCTTGCGGCTCGTTTTTATAGTCACCGATCGTTGACAATTATGCAAACGAGACGCGAAGCTCGAGTAATCGTATCTCCTCTCTCAAAAACTGTCGATTTTTGTGCGCAATCTGAGCGCGAATTAGGGGAGAAATTACTGTACTGCTTCAAGTTTGCGGGGGAACGATCCACCGATTCCACGCCGATCGGTTGCGTTCCTCTGCATATTAGAAAGTAAGGAAATCGTAAAAAAAAATATACACGAGAGTCTTTTTACACGCACAATTGGATAAGTAGCAGGTAAGGCTGGAACGAATATTAATAGCGTTAAATTAGCTTATGTAACGGAGTTGAACATCGTGAGCGCCAAATGTTACCTTGTAGTTGCAATTAGGAAATGCGTTCGTTTTATTGCTAATTGCTCATTCGACGGTAAGAATTTATTCCGCTTTCTACGCGTTTCGTAAATGTTCCGACGATACTCGGACGCGAGATTGCGCGACGAAATGGCAGAAATTTGACGGAAAGGCGACAGCCATTCGCTGGCAGAAGACAATATATAATTTACGTTTAATCAATCCTACAGGATGCTTACCTTTAGTTAAGTCTTTAGTTAATGTGATTTTAGCTATTATAATATAAATATAATATGTCGTGCACGATTTTCAGCAAATTGATGGAAGCATATTGTGTTTTATTTTTAAAAACAATGTCTAAACGATATTATTAACTGCGACACTTTGAAAAGGTTATTGCGAATTGCTCTCTGTAGAAATTGATCATTTTTAAATCATTGTTGGGGATCGTTTTCAAGGAAATACGCCTCGTTCTTTTGCAGAAGCCATGAATTTTAACGCGCGTTCACGAAAAGGGAATAAACGACGAATTACGTGCGCGAATGCAGGTTTTGCGCGCCGAGTTCATCCTTTTGCAGGTCAAATTCATCTTTACTCTAATCGAATACATCCTTTTGCAAATTAAATGCGATTCGTGGTTATCTCTAGGGTTAAATAATATAAATACAACGTGAAATATCCTTTTTTGGAAGTATAGTTAATTAGTTTCGAGCAATGGAAGCCTGCCATATATATTTTATTGCAATTTTCTCTGATGAAATTGAGCATATTTGATTTTGTGAGCCTATTTATATTTGAAATATAAACGAATTTGACAAAATCATTTTTAGCGCTGTAGCAAACTTTTAATCGTGCCTCGGACGCGCCATGGAGTACGAATGGTTGATCATTCTATTAAACTGGTTTATGAAATCAAAGCGGAAGAGCTCGATTTGCAAAAGGGTGAATACAATTTGCAAAAAAATGAATTCGGAGTGCGAGAATAGTGAATTTGCTTTGAGATCGGGCGAATATAATTTGCAACGGGATGAACTCGCGGCGCGAAACCTGTATTTCTGCTGAATTTCTGGATTTCGTCAATTTTTTTTTCGGGGAGCTCGTACTCGACGCCCTCGGCCGAAACGAATGTACCACGTAAATCTTCGCGCAGCATTGGCGCCGAACGATCCCAATGCCAGAAAACAGGAAGAACTCGTTCCGCGGCATTTCCAGCGCGCGTACCCGTTTTCGCGCAAGTGACATAATTAATTTTGGGAGGAAAGAGGCTCCCTCGGCGATGGCGCAACTTTCGCGTTTCAACCTCCGCGTGGCCTGTTCATTGTCGTTTATCTTCCTTTTTTTTTCTTTTTTACTTTTCTTGTTCAGTTTACTTGTAGAGATAAGTATGCGATCGTGCGATCGCCCCGATGGAATGCACATCCGCGTGCCCATTAACGAGGCCGGGAAAATATATACATATATGAATACATACATATGCCTTCAGTTGCGTATACCGAAATGCTAACCAGTTAACCCTCCGTCGTGGTCAAGATCAATTCTTTAATTCTAAATGAAACGACGCGCGCACCATTGTGCGCTCGCTCGAGACGCAGTTGCATGTTACTTTTATATTAGCAGACGCGCACGAAGCGTATACGGAACTGTATTTATTTGTTAAGCTAAGTACAGCGAGATGGTGTTCAAAGATATATGATGTTTGAGTGAGATTCATGTAATCAATAAAGCATAAGTTTTTTGAAGTATAATATATAACGCGAGGACGAGCATGCTACTTCTTCATTCCATTATCCTCTCTTGTAATATTACTCTTAAAAATATCTATTATTGTTCGTTATTATTGAATAAACTAGGATAAACTGAGGATTTATCTCGTTATAGTTACAAGCATACTTTTTTTGTTATCTTCGTTACTTTTGCGTAACTACCTGTAACGTTACTTGTATTATTGCTTTATTCTTACAATGTATCATTAAAAAAGTATATTACAAAAGAAAATTTGTCAGATTTTTTTCGCACTGTCTAGCAAAATAGTAATCTTTTTTAAACGACGTTTGACAATTGCATGCGCATTTTTTTTTATCTCTGTGAGATTTTAATCTCCACGAAATCGGATTACGAATTTAAAAAATATTTAACAGTCGGTTTGCGTTTTTATAAAATCTCCCTACACATTTTTCATTCTTTTTTACATACCGATTCGATCAATAATTAAGTCTGACGATACTTTAAGTTGTTGTTTTCATTAGAAATCTCGCTTAACACGAGAAGGGATAAGGAAAATACGAAGGCCGCGGCATATGAAGAGAAACGTTTTTAATTCAGTTATGCGAGTAAAAATACATTTTACAAAATACATATCGTTAAGATTGCGCGTTACGCTGGGAGAAGGAGAACATAGCGACGAAGCGAATTTTGTACGCAAACCTAATCTATGAACGTTTTAAATCGATAATACACGTGAACAACGTACGACAAAAATAAAACGCTACTCGACGGAACGCAGACTGTCGCTGGCCGTGAGGTAAGAAAAGAATTTCGTATTCTAAGCGTTGGACGGATTCCTGATAAGCTACATTTTCCGCTTGCTTTTGTGTCTTTTTCAAAAATAATTCGAAACGTACGCTCGCCGACAAAAGACCCGGACAAATTGCCCTATATTCTGAAAAGTAACTCGAAGTATTATTTTCCGCCGGATGGAAGACGCGCGATGGTCGAACGAGTCGAACTCTCTTTTTAAAATCGTTTCCGCGTGCTTTTGTCGGCGGGCGTGTCAAACAGAAAATTCCGAAAGTCGAACAAAGAGAAAGCGAAGATTAAACCGAGTACTAAAATAGAAGACGAAAATAGCACTATCTAATTACAACGGCGTGCGATATTAGACGATGCGATGTTAGCGATCCGATCGAAACGTCCGCAAACGCGCGACGCGATCCTAAATTAACAGTTTCTCTTTACTGTACAACGACGTCACGTCGAATCTATATACACGTATATGGTACAAAAAAATAATCGCCTCGTTCCTTTACGTTTCGTTTCTTTTTTTTCTTTTTTTTCTTTTTCTTTCTTTTTTTTTGACGTAAATATAGATCGCTGCGCGAACGAGAAATTCAAATGAAGCGTTTAGCGTGTGTTAGCGCGGTGCTACGTCGACTAACGAGGTGTCTAACTATAAAAACGCCTAACAAGTTCGTCGCGACAGTGTACAAACCACTTTTAATAATACGACAAGTAACCTACGACGAAAACTGGCAAGAAGAAACGATGGAGAGAGAACGCGACACAGGCGGTCTCAGCTTCGCGCGCGACGCTGATCGAATTCAGACTTACCCTAAGTGGCATTTGTTTCCCCTAATTGGCGATGAACGATGTATTCTGTTCGGTTTCGTTTTGTTCTATTGTTATTTGTACCATAACAATCGCGCGACGTTAAACCACGTTGTATTTCGTTTGGAAGAAGTGGTAGCCGACGAAGGCCAGCGCGACGATATAGAGGGAATGGAGGATCGATGCGCTCGGCGCAGAGTTGCAGAGATCGGTGCTGCAGATGTGACATGATTCGATCACGTTCGTACCGGCAATCGCCATCGAGCTGCAAGGACCGTCGGTGATGCTCGCTTCGTCGACGTTCGGTGTCGAGCACTGACGTATCACGACTCGGTCGCCATTTTCTGCGGGAAAAACTAGATCGTCAATTTATGCACAATTTAATGGAAATACAGGATGTCTTAGAAATATCTCGCGATCTGGAAACGGCGGGTTCCTGAGGTCATTCGAAGTAACTTTTTCCTTTACGAAAATGTTCTCCGAGGCATCGTTCACGAGTTATTAACGAAAAACAGTTACCAATGAGAGGCGAGCTCGGCTGGCGGGAGGCGGCCCAGTCAACGAGCGCGCGAAGTCGAGTTCCGCTCATTGGCACGGCCGCCTCGCGCTAGCCGAGCTCGCTTCTAATTGGTCAATGTTTTTCGGGAATAACTAATAAACAAAGCCGCGGATTGCATTTTCGCTAAGGAAAAAATTACTTCAAATGATCTCAATAATCCCTCATTTCCAAATTGCGAGACATTTTTGGAACACCCTGTATATGTATTGAATCGATGAACGAATCCTTTATGTTTTCAACAAAATTTCGTCTTCGTAACAGTCTCATGTGTACGATGTTCCGTAAGTATGATCACTATACTGTGGATGTTCTTAGAAATTTATGTACATATTTTTAAGTACGAACGATAATGAATGTGTCCAGGAATTATGATTAATATCGGATGCAATGTGCAAGGCTTTTTTAAGATATGATTTTTTATTCATTCGAATTATACGTACTAATTGTAAAATGAAAATAAAAATGCTGTTAGCCCTTGTTAATTTATACGATGCCTTGCAATTTTTTTTCTTGGAGCATCGTCATATCAATAACATATACTTTTTAATGTGGTAACTATTGTATACACTTATTTATAGATTGTATAATCTTCCAGTTTTATCGCGCAACAACTGGCTTCGTCATCCGACGATTAATGGTAATAATAATATCAATTTGTAATTAGAATCGGTGATCGTTGATTCTGCGTATTCCGTGCAATTTCCTGCGAAGCGATCTCCAATGCCAGCCTGTCAGACAATATTTACAGTTTACGGTTTTCGCGTAGAATCGGCTGTCTTATTTGTACGAGGCCGGAGTATTGTTTGGACGATTTAACGCAATAGGTTATGTAACGCTTGTGATTCAAAGTCTACTGAGAATCTCCGGAAGTAATTATGGCTTTGTGTATACGAATAAAATTGTTCCATTGTGCCGCGATTAATAATATATATGTGCCGAGATGATCGTTTGCAAATTCCAGCGGAGTCACGGACAACTGTTTAAAGATATGTTGAAAATAAAAATATATGCTCCAAATAAAAAATATTATCTGCAACATATCGATTAAGATACGAGAATTCGTACGAATTCATTTCGTACAGATTGGCAATAGTGGAAACTAAACGCACACGAGCTCGATCTATCTTCATTAATAATATATAAAATAATATATAAAATATCTTCATTAATAATATATATGTGCCGAGGTGATCGTTTGCAGATTCCAGCGGAGTCACGGACCACTGTTCAAAGATATGTTGAAAATAAAAATATATGCTCCAAATAAAAAATATTATCTGCAACATATCGATTAAGATACGAGAATTCGTACGAATTCATTTCGTACAGATTAGCAATAGTGGAAACTAAACGCACACGAGCTCGATCTATCTTCATTAAAATGCTCGCCGGAATCTCTATTAGCGTATTAATATTCCATTAGTGATTTAATGTTCCATTCCATTAGTCACTTCAGTCATTTATTTCGAGCTCGTGTGCTGCCGATCACAGCAGAAAAACATCCGACGGAAACGTTTACGTTTTGTCTGATTTTAGAAATAAATAACTGTACAAATAAACACAGACAACGTCAATTATTTTTTTAAAATTCTGTTCGACAAAAATCTGTTGAAATTAACGAATCTTTATTTTATATGAAAATTCCCAGTCTGATTCCAATGCAGTTTACGAAGAAATTCCGGAACTTTTTCGAACGCTTATGTAAATTATAGCATTCGAGAGACGAACATGAAGGATTGAGAAATCGGTTGCCATACTAATCACGCAACGATGAAGCATCTAATTGTAAACTTGCTTTGCGAGAGCAACTAACCGCCAACATTGACATAAATGTTTCCGTTCGCGATTATCTTCTACGTTTTCTGCTGAAAGCAATTAACCAAGTCCTAACGAAGAGACTTTTCTTACGTTGCTGTGCTAATATTGTCAGCGCTACGTTCATTCGGATAATTCCTGTGCCAGTTCTGCATATATGTGCATCATTAATACCAAAATTACAGTCACGTTAACGCGATTAACCTCAATATTCATGATTCTGCACCGGCGAGTGATTTTTCTCTGGCGCGGGTGTGGTTTCGGCCTTGGTTACCCACAATTATCGCAATTATGGCATGGGCACGCGTTCTGAGTCACGAGCGCACCACGGCACGCTGTGGCGACCAACATGAAGACAATGATCGCCGGATAGTACACTACGATTCTACGCCATAATACGTGAAGCTGTTGCTCGTAATCCAGTGAAACATCGCAGTTATTACGACCGTAACAGCTACGATGCAAATGAAGTGGACGGCGAAAAAAACTCACTGCTGCTCTTTTTGCATATTATTTACAGCAACAAATGCTCTACAATCGTACCAAAATTAAAAGTGAACCGTATATATATATATATATATCACAAAGGATTGTTCCTTTTTAGTAATTTGCACCAGAATCGATTTTGAATGTAAACAAAATTGTTACTGTTCTTTCGACATATTCTTTACAGTAACAACCGCTACGATGGTATCGATGGCGCGGCAAACAATGGAACCCAAATAATAGCTAGAAGAGAACAGTATCGAAGAATCCACAGAATCTATTTTCTAACCATAACATAGATGGTTGATTCGCTATACCCAAAAATAGCATCCAATTTAAAATTTGTAATAATTTATTAAATAGAAACGCGTTCGAGAAACATGCTTCAGAATTACAGTAAGATAATTATTAACGGCGCTTCTGTTTCCCAATTTGAGTGCAATAGTTAACATCTAGAAAAAGATTTTTTTCACAAATTTTTACGGAAACTACAATTTAACGATTCGTCGAAAGTTATCTTGTTTTATTAAGTTTCTTCCTAATTATCGTATAAAATTTTTGTACGGTGGCCTTAAGAATGTTATATTTTTCGATTATTAGTTGACATTTTTGTTGTCAAATTTTGAAATCAGATATCTTGAAAATATCGATTTTTATGAGGAAACATTTTTTGATCTATCAAGTGATTCATATTTTTCAAGAGGACAGGAACATTTTACAGTTTAGTAAATATTTTGCCGCGGGATGTTTTAGAAAATGCCATAAATCCACGTCTGGTCGCGACACTCCATTCATCAAAAGCATTTCTTGCGCAACAATGCTTAAAATACATTAACAGACTGCGGTAGTTTCTGCGAGCTTGCACTTTTATTAGAGTCGCGCGAGAAGAAACGATATTCGGTTCACTTCCTGTCCGATCATTTGAAAAATGAGACGAAGCTGCCGATTCGATTTTATCATTAGAGTAACTATTTCTTGGTAAATTACGTTACGAAACACGAAAAACTTGGTGCATGACAAATCGCTTCGAGCAAACCATTGTGATTCGTCATAACAACTCGTCACACGATAAATCGTGACACGTATGTCCCATTAAGACGTTCAAATCCGGAGGACGTCGAGACACAAAATGGACCTAAAACGAACATCCGCGAGGCGTCTTGCATTATCTAAATAGCGGCACGTTCGCACTTTCGCGAGGAGCGCGATAAATGCCAATTAACCAATGAAAGTTAATATTTCAAGCGGACATTTCAGTCACATTTCCGACGTTTGTATTACGAAAAGAATGACATCACTTCTGGTATTTTAAAAACCGTCTTTAACAACTGCATGATGAGAACGATTAAAATTTTTTAACATAATTTTAAAGACATGTATAATCATTATTATCTTAGAGAAATTAGAAAATTCGTTAGGATATTTTTCTTTCTTCAAACCGTACAGCTATAGTCCCTTTCGTTATCAAATGTTTAGTTTATCACTTTCGATTATTCAGTTTTGCATTTTTTCGTAGCAAGAAAAGTTCTTTAAACATTTCAAAAATTTATAAATAGGTATAGAACGATGTTGAACATTCTATAATCAAGACACGTCGCTGGCAATATCACATATGATTGATAATTAACGAAACAATGAGAATTCAATTAACTCTTCGCGCCACGATTTCTTTCACAACTGCGTTAATTAGCACTCCTTCGCCCTTAATAATATCCCTGTTAGAACGAAGCCATTTCTCGCATGTCCTCATTTACGTTCGTTCTCAGATTTCGATAACAAAAGAATCAAATATTCGTTGTCTCTAACAAGATTATCGTAAAACCTTCGTCACGAGTCCGACTGGCTGTTCTAATGAAAGGGATCGAAGGAAATTGCACGTCGTCGTCCACTGTCCGTTTTCCGAAACGAATGGAAACCATGGGAGTCCTCTTCACGCAACTATGTTCGAGAAGCTCTGTAAAAGTTGAAAACTTGTTTTACCTCTTTTCACGATTTTCCGGCAGATCGGTTTCGATGCATCGTAAATGCCGCTCTCGCAGACTTTCGTATGGAAAGTCGTCTGATGTTCGGTGATGTTCATCGGGTCACCGCATAGCGGACTCGCGTTCGAAGCGCAGACCCAGCATTTTAAAGCGGAACCTGTAAAATGCGTTGCAAATGATAAACAAAAAAATCGCGAATCATGCAATGACGCGTAAAGATCGTCGCATCGCGAAACGATTTCATCGTTCCTCAAGCGTGTTTCTACGTTCGATTGCTGACAATAATTTGCGGATGTTCGCGCAGTTTCGCGATCCTAGGATTGTTGCTTTTTGTCCGTCTCGCAGGAATCCGAAGCATCGTCGGAACAACATTGCTGCGTGTGTTAAAAATAAATAATGTTAGTCATTGCTTCGATTCCTCTCGCGATGGTTCGCGCTCGTAAGCACTGCTTCGGTAATATTCCAGAACGTAAAAAACTGTGTACGACTGCAATTCATTCTTTAAGGATTAGTCATTTTCCGTGCTGACAAACATCGAGGAAACTCGTGGATACGGGCGCGATTACGTAACTGATTAGATTATCTCGATGCCTGAATAGAACGTGTTACGAATTACTGACCTACAGTACGAAAAATAAGCAACGAAAATACAAACGTTCTCGATTATAAGAACCGGAACTAATATTATGATACGCGTCCGGTTCGTTCGATTAATTCTACAAGAAAAAAGTGTCGCACAAATTATTGCGGCAAATGCTAATTTAATATCGCACTGTTAACATCGATGTAATCCTTGCACCACTCGGAACAGCAAATTGAACAATAACAATGGTTAGCTTAATACGTTTGATAATTAAGGCGGTAACAATGAACTCAGGCATAACGAGATGACAAAAGGGAATAAGGGAGTAACGACTGGAGCAAGTAAGACAATAGAAATGGTTGTACTCGAGACGGAGATTCGAATAAAACAATAATTTGCTTAATGGTGCTCATCTTTTCGCAGACAGCCTATAATTTTCATTGTTGTTCGAGGCTGCGTGCTCGTTCGTTTTTGACAATTCTGTTTACTAACTTATACAAATTTTAAACTGTATTATTCAATGTCGACCATTTTTTAAGGAATCGTTACTGGTATAATAATTCTGTTGCATCGCAAAGTTACACATCGGATTGCAAGGTTTAATCTACCCACTGTCAAGTTAGTTCATAGTCGTAGAAAATACTTTTAGACGGAATCAGATATGCGAAATGAAATTGATGGTTAAATTGACAGGTTACAGTGGTGATTTAACAATGGTAGTAATTATTTAATCTCACCGATTGTGTCTCAAAAGTTATTAATAGCTTGACTTATTGATCAATTGTTACATAGTAATATAAACCTAAATTGTAAACTAATAAATCACATCGAATAATTTCATCATGCCATTTAGTATTATTATTAGTTTGTCATACGAATTCGGAATAGCTTTTTAAATCAGCAAATCACACGGTTCGACGAATGCGAACTGAAAATGGAGCCTTAAGAAACATACGACCATATTTTTCGAACAACCTAACATTTAAAAGCAGATTTTAAAACTCCTTTCGAACATAACAACAGTTCCGTCTTTCATTCGCTAGCACGTCCGCGGTGCAAATATTTTCCAAAAATGGATCGCGCAAAGACGTCTAGAAAAAAAGAAACGCTCGAATTTCCTGGGCTTAGTACGCGACACGTCGAACTCACCTGACTGTGCGAAAACGACCAGGCCGAAGATCACCAGCATCCACTCGGTTCTGGGGGACATTTTGGCCGCACTCTCGGAGATTTCAATGCTTCTCGCTTCTGGATGGTATCGATCGTGGTTCGCACGGATCGCGGTGGTGCGTACGACTCTGGCGAGACGAACAGATTATCCAGGGGGGAGGGTTTCAGGGATATAGCCGTCGAGGAACTGCTGGTGTCGCGGAACGTGTTCTCTACGATACTGATGAGGCAACACCCCCTTTTCGCCGGGAGCGTACGCTAGCTCTCCCTTCCCTGAAGTCCATCATCCTCTCCTCTTCGCCGGCACGCGGCGGCTACCATGGACCGTCGTAATGACATATCGTGCCTAATAACCCCGTAACCCCTCCGCGGGCGATGCTAGTGCCAGGAAGTAGGAGTCAAGAGCAAACAACCGAAGGAGGCTGGCTTTCGAGAGAACACAAGAGACGGCACGATAATTGCGGCCCGGAGGAGAGGGAGCGAGAAAGGCCGACGGTGGTCTCGCGGCCCTCATTGGACTCATTAGAACAATTACGGACCTGTTGAGCGCTCTGGGATCTTTCGAGGTGTATGCTGGAAACTGGAGCATGCGTTCGTTCAGTGGCCGATGAATTTTCAGATTGCCGTCCGCCGGGATTCGCCGGACTTCGTCCTACGGATTTCAACGACGCCGGTTCCGCTCGATCGCGTAACTCGCTTCTGCGACGAGGATTGTTAGCTGTGCCGCTAGGCGTGCCAATGAGTTCATCGCTAATTGCGTTATCGATCGGCGGCGTGTAATTGTTTGGTTATTTATTCAGGTATTGGCCAGAGTGACAGCAGGTACGAGTAATCTGCGGGTTTTCTGTTTCCGATGGACGCCGGGATTGTTCCAATCAAATTTGGACGCTTCACCCGCGGATAATCGATCATTCTCACGGCTGTACAATCGATGATGCTTGTCGCTGAACTGGACGCGATGTGTTCGGAACGAAAGTGGGCGGCTGCAATTTGGGACGGTAGGAAGATTCGAAGAATTTTTTGAACCATTGAAATCATTTTTATTTTATTTTTATCGAGAATAGTAGTTACTGTGGCGGAAACTTTATGTAAATCATAATCGAGCTGCGGATCTTTATGCAAAATTGTTTATTTGGAAATCTTTAACTTTCAATCTTTCTACTGTTTCATATCTCGTCCTAAATCATCCTAATGATTTACTTGCATTAGAAGTACCTATAATATATCTGATTTTCATTGAGAATATTGGGTTATTTTGGGAAACGTTGTATACAGGGTGTCCCATAATTATGTGAACACCCGCAAAGAGGTGATTCCTGAGGTCATTTGAAGTAACTTTTTCCTTAGCGAAAATGCAATCCGCGGCTTTGTTTACGAATTATTAACGAAAAACACTGACCAATGAGAGGCGAGCTCGGCTGGCGCAATCCGGTCGAACCAATGGGCCTGTCTCTTATACACATCTAGATGTGTATAAGAGACAGATACAGGGTGTCCCATAATTATGTGAACACCCGCAAAGAGGTGATTCCCTGTCTCTTATACACATCTAGATGTGTATAAGAGACAGATACAGGGTGTCCCATAATTATGTGAACACCCGCAAAGAGGTGATTCCTGAGGTCATTTGAAGTAACTTTTTCCTTAGCGAAAATGCAATCCGCGGCTTTGTTTACGAATTATTAACGAAAAACACTGACCAATGAGAGGCGAGCTCGGCTGGCGCAATCCGGTCGAACCAATGGGCCTGTCTCTTATACACATCTAGATGTGTATAAGAGACAGATACAGGGTGTCCCATAATTATGTGAACACCCGCAAAGAGGTGATTCCTGAGGTCATTTGAAGTAACTTTTTCCTTAGCGAAAATGCAATCCGCGGCTTTGTTTACGAATTATTAACGAAAAACACTGACCAATGAGAGGCGAGCTCGGCTGGCGCAATCCGGTCGAACCAATGGGCCTGTCTCTTATACACATCTAGATGTGTATAAGAGACAGATACAGGGTGTCCCATAATTATGTGAACACCCGCAAAGAGGTGATTCCTGAGGTCATTTGAAGTAACTTTTTCCTTAGCGAAAATGCAATCCGCGGCTTTGTTTACGAATTATTAACGAAAAACACTGACCAATGAGAGGCGAGCTCGGCTGGCGCAATCCGGTCGAACCAATGGGCCTGTCTCTTATACACATCTAGATGTGTATAAGAGACAGATACAGGGTGTCCCATAATTATGTGAACACCCGCAAAGAGGTGATTCCTGAGGTCATTTGAAGTAACTTTTTCCTTAGCGAAAATGCAATCCGCGGCTTTGTTTACGAATTATTAACGAAAAACACTGACCAATGAGAGGCGAGCTCGGCTGGCGCAATCCGGTCGAACCAATGGGCGGTCGAAGCCCAGTTCTACTGATTGCAATAATATATCTCTATATTAATATTTATTGAACTTCCACTCTTTCCCCTGTTACATATTTCAACCACATATTTTGTCATAATTGCTGACGTTCACAGTGCGATAATGATTCATTTGCATTACCTGCAAGTGTGAGTAACGTAGAGAATTTTTATTTTCGTCGGAAGTTGTGGTTAGTCTAGTAAGAATTTTATAGTTGATTCATTGTGTGTACTACTTGCATTATATGCACGTAAGTAGACTGCGGATCTTTATGCAAGAGATACAATTTTATATATATTTATTGTATTATTTATATATTTATTATATTTATATGTTTATTATATTTATATATATTTATATATAATATAAGCTAGACTCTTCAGCAGTAGATCTTCATTTTCGAATTGTCTTAGTTTTCTACCGCTTGGTATTACGCCTACCTATTTTTGCCATAAACGCGTAAAACAACGTAAGCATAAGTAGTCATATTTATCGTGAAACTTGATTCCGACTTCGATCATTGATTCGCACATAATTTTATCAGATTGTACAGAAAATGCGATTAATAATGCAACTGACAGAAAATATGAACATGCCCAAGCAGGTTTGAACGTTAGCCAACCGTTGAATCATAAAGGAGTGTCTTACGGTGAATCACCATGCCGCAACTTGAAACGGTTGCTGTGGTGTACGCATCAAAAATAAAAATTGTTCGGATAGAACGGCTTGATTTCACTTAATTTTGTTTGATTTGTCAGAAGAATTTCCAAATTGTGCAATTTATAACGTAACATATTTCTCGAAGGGGAAATCATTATTTTGGAAAATTCATTCTAAGATAATAATTCAGAAATTCTAAAAGAATTTACAAGCATCCAAGAATCGTTGTCCTATCAGTATTAATTTCAAGCGATTTTATTGGCTAATTACAAAATTTATAAAGCAATATTTAATAAAACGCAATGGATAAAAATCGTGCGTACGTGTAATTTCAAAGTTACACAGAGCTACGAAAGATTAAAAAATACATCGACAAGAATTGACGAATAAAATTATAAACGATCCTAAGCGTGCTCTCGGTTATAGTTTCGTCAAAAAAAGTCTGCCGCTCGCGTGTTAAATAAGGAAACTTCACTCATCGGCTATGTAATTGTGTTTCATCGATTTCTAAGTTACGAGTTCGTTGCAGATATCTATGCGCGGGATTGTAAAGTGGGGCTTGCCGTCTCGTTAAAGACGGCTTGTTAGAGGTCAGGAGACCAATTAACCCTGCAAGGCATTACCGAATTGACTCGAGCATTTAACCCTTTCTCCTCCGCCACGTGCGTGTAAACGTAAATACGAGTGCACCCAGACACGCACACTTTTTCTGTGTGCGGGATTAAAACTTACCACCATTCATGCAAAGCTTGCGACAAACGGGATACGACTCCCAGTTCATTCATAAAGTCGTTTAATTTCTGCCGCTAGAAGTCAATAGCCGTTTCCGGTCATTCGATGCCGGTCTCCTCAGTTATTCGTTGAAACTGACCAACGCGACGGATATTTCAGAAAATCATTACCCAAAACGTGCGCGCTTCGCGAGGATCTTTGCGAAACGATAACGATAAGTTATCTTGTACGTTTTCGACGATATTGTACGTTCGATAAATTCGACAATTTTATTTTATTTTACAACGACGATAATGTCGTTTGTAAACATGCTTGCGAGCTTACACGTCGTCATAATGAATATATTGATACGAATGTGTTACATAGATATCATTTAATCGAAGATCTATAATAATTTGGAGGAAAATGAGCCTTTCGTTAAATTCTATAAATACACTTTACCCGTATTGCCAGTTAGAAAATCTAAACACTATAATCGAAATACTAGAATTGATAATGTTTCTTGCATTTATTCGCCTGGAAATGATCAATTAGAAGCATAAGAAAAAAAGAATTGTGCTCGCAATGCTGTTTGTTAAAATTTTTTTCTCTTTAATATATTCATGTTAAGTGTTAACAGATTTTAATAAACACAGTCCTAAATATAATTTTACAGAAGCTGTAATTTTAACGTAACTTTGCTTTGAATCGCCACAAATATTAAAAAGTCAGACATATGTAGATTTTTGTTATGATATCTTAATTTACTTTCTCAGTGTTGACTTAAATTAAATCATCTTATCGAAAAGCTAATTTTACAAAAGATATGTTCTTAATTTGTTATTCTTTATTTTATATTTTATTTTATTTTTTATATATGTTATTTTTACAAAAATAACCTCGGAAAAGATAACATTCTACGATAATTCGCAGGTTCTTTGTTAAATTAGGAGCTGCTTTTTATTGCAAAAAGTAGGGGAGCACTTTTTTAACGAATAGACTGCGGATCCCTATGCAATTTTCTATTTTTACAATTCATTTTATAAAAATTCTAAACCAAATATTCAAAGAACTGAACCAATTTATTTCTTGATCATGTAAATGCTATTTTACAGGTCATAAATTTGCAGACAGCATAAACGCATAAAAATCTGCGGTCTAGTATCGGGTAATAACTAGATTCTCGATATTATGTTTTGCGAATTTATTTACGTTACAAATCTTATGCCAACAGAAAACGCTTTCGATTACGAAAATTTGACGGCGATGCAGATGAGAGGCAATAACAGTCCCAAACGGTGTAAGGCGAATAAATAGATCGATCCTTGGCCATTGCAAGCGTACTCGTTGCAAAAGGAACACGTGATGCTGGAGTTTGGTAAATGGCGGCAGTATCCATCGATTTCGCGTGACGGCACGCAACCTCGTACCGTCACCAGCACGTCCCTATCTGCATCATTAAGGAAATAGTTGCTTCATAGCCTCGCCACTTTCAAGGCAACACTTTAATTGCGAAGACTCAAAGCTATACATTTGATTGAAATTAATACATTGGTCGCCGAGAGCGTGCGATTAACTGTGCGATTCGACATTCCACGCGACGTTCTCGTCATCTCATTACGCGTTAATATTCAATAATTATATCGTGGCTGTTTATATTTGTATGCTGTTTATGTTTATGTTTATGTTTATGTTTACATTACATTTATATAATTATATCGTGCACAGATGCATGAACGAAAACGCGCAATTCTCGTGATACATAGCTTCGAAGGATATTAAAGCTTGAAATTGTTTCTTAGAAATCCTGTCATGAACACATCGCAGTAATTTTTAATTGTATTTTATGTTCAGTCGACAAGCATTCCATTTTGTCGTAATATTCATATTGGTGCGAAGTGTGATGTATCTGTGAGTCATCGATGTATTGTTGTGTTGCTCATTGAAATCTAACGTGTCATGTTTTTTAAGTAGTTTAAGTAGTTTGTTAACTAGTCATGTAAACTAGTCATCAGTTCTTCACGTAGTTTATTAAATTTTTGTTGTTGTAAAAGGAAGTCTTGTCGGTTTTCCTTGTCACAAATCCAACGAAAATGTTGTTACAATATTGTTCTTTGCATATTCATTAGGTGATCAACGCTAAACCTAACACGTGGCGATTAAAATGACCGATTTCGCTTTTTTCTTTATTAAAATTGTTGAAAGTGTAAAAATATTTTCTTAAGAGACGATTAGATAAATTTCTTAATTCATGCATACATTATGTGTAATAAAAGTGAGGAAACGTCAAAATAAATTCGGTCTTGTGATTTCTATAAAGCGACACAAGTTTTTTAATTTTGGAGTTTAGTTTGCGATTAGTGTCAATTGAAACCTGAAACCTAGACTTTTAATCTCTCTGACTTAAATATTTTAAAGTCAGTTCTCTTTTGAATACAGAAAAACCTATGAGCACAATCTGTGTTAGCAAATGCTTTTCGCTTGTACTATCGAATAAAAATAAATGCAAACAGAAGTTGCCTGTAATCGCAGATAAGTATATTTTATACGCACCGATAATGATGCTTTTGAGACAATGATGAGGTTCATTTAGTGGACAAAGGACTAAATCATAGTAAGGTGCCGGAATATAAGGATCGTTGCACGCTGTCGTGTGGCCATCCGTCAGATTGGTGTTGCACTGATAACACCATAAGCTCTGGCTTTTTGCGCACCCTGTAAGACGATGCTGAATAAACACGATGATCTTGTGTCGTTAATTATAGCTGGATTACAGATTTCGTCCTCGCGCTAGATAAAACAAAATGTCGACCTGAACAATGCTCTAATAAAGTTTTTATTTTATTTGCAATCAGACTAAAGTTTCAATAGAAAGCGTTTCTCGATAGGGATCTAAAAGAATCTTTGAAAAATCAAGCAAATTGACTTTCAATTGAAACATTTAATAATGCGTCTGTCTTTCAGTCATTTGCAGGAGCTCGTTGAGACAGTAAATTAAGCAAACAAATGTTAAGGGTGCTGTAAAACGTGTATTTAAAGAGATCAATGTTATGAATCGTGGCAACTAAGTGAATCAACGCCAGCGAAAGAATGGATTAGAAATAAACACGAAGATTAGCAAAAACTTTAAGATTCGTTTAAGTAACTCGTAAATAGATTTTATGCATTTAAGAGAAAAATAGGAAGTTGCATAAAAAAGTGCACAGTTCAACTCATTACGATAACTAAAAAACGAAATCGATAACCATGTAGCTTGTAATTAGTACAGACGATTTTTAATTTACATAAAAATCCGCTGTTTATTCATAAATGATATTAACATGTCTACCAAAACAAAACCTTCATTTTACCAAATAAAATATACTATTTTTCAAACATCATCGCAAGATAGCAATTCTATAATTGTGATTATTAGATTGCAGATCTTTGTACAAAATAAACATTTTCATAATCAATTGTAAGACATAGAAGTCAATAAAAACATGTTCCTACTTTTAATAATTTCAATAATTTAAGTAGAATCTATGTGTTGGAATAGGCAGTGTTACAAAAATTTGCAAATTTTATTCATAAATTCTCCCTAATTTTCCTTTAACTTGTAAACAAAACAAACAATTTGAGAAGAGGAGATTCGATCCTTGCGCCTCATTTTTATAATTGTTGACAATCGGCAACTATAAAAAATGAGCCGCGAGGCTCGATTAATTTACGAATAATTTACAAGCTGAAGGAAAATTCGGGAGAATTTACTGTATTTTCCCGCGTTATTAATCCGTTTCTCTTGTTTTTAGAGAAACAGCATCGCGCGAACGATATTTAGAAGCCAGTTTGTCTGAAACAGTTCATTCAACGAGCTGTTTCCTCCTTTTCTTCAGGCGCGATATAGTTATCGCGCTGACCGAAACGGAGGTACTTTTCTCATTAACAAGAGTCTTTCACTACCGACAATCCCACGTTGCGACACGGTTCAACGCACGAAAACCAAGCTGTTAGCACAATAAATAACGAAATCGGGCACTCGACGATTAAAAATGCACCAACGAAAATGCTGTTCTATTTGTTCTATCGTCGACGCAATCTATTTCACGCCGACACCTCCTCTCCGATACGAATTTTTCCCTTCGACAGTTTATTAGAGGACGTGCAAAAGCTAATGTTAACTACTTCAAAGATGTTGTCACTGAAACTAAATTATGGAACACGTAGCGCGAATTAAATCCAATTACGTTATAAGATACACCGCGTCGAGATAATGACAGGAATGATAAACAGCAAACTTTACTTACCGAATGTCGTTAAAATAATCACTGTCGTTAAAAGGAACTGGCTAGCCATGGTGGTTTCGCTTCAAGATCTACGCCCGAAGTCTCCTCGTTACCTCTTATCTTATCTGCGGCAATAAAAGCGAGAAGTCTGGTGGCGGTGCTAAACACGTACAGAATATGCGCACGATTTTTCCTCCGTGCGGCGCGCTATGAATGTTTAACCGTGTTAACGCGTCAACGATTCGTCAAGTTGATCAAATTAAATTGGTAGATGCATAAAACAATATTAGTATATTCCAAGTTTTCCGATACGAAGAAAAAGCAAAACTTACCAACAAACAGCGAATATTTATGCAGATACTCGCTTTCGTACGTAATCTTGTAGAAATTAGAATTGAAGAAAAGTTACCTTCGTTCGCTGAAAGATTGCTCATTGTAGAAACAAAATAAAAATGCCGGAAGATCTTCTTAATTTATATGTTTCGTTGCATTTTCAAAATCTGCACATGGCATGAACGTCTGCACACAGGCATTAACTAAAATATTCTGAGGCGTTCTAAAACAGAATTACTTTTTAAAAGTTGGACAAAATAATATGAATTTTTTGCGGTACTAGAGGAACTAGTTTAGTAGAAAATGCTTGGCAATTTTTTGCAAAAATTGCAACTGATTGGAATTGCACAGTATGAGCTGCAAACGAGTAAAAATTATGAAAATCGCATTGTTTAAATTTTTATTCTCGAGCCAGATAAAATAAGTTAGACATCGCTTCTTCTTTTTTTACTTTTTCTTGTCGTTTCAGCTACATGCAATTTAAGTAAAAATTTGTTTATTATCTAATGAACTAGTTCCTCCGACATTTCCAAATAAATTCAAGTTAATTTGGTCGAATTTGTAAAACGTTGTTCCGTTTTTGCAAGGTGTCCAAACATTTCGGTGAGTTGAAATTGTTCATAATAAATATAAATTTTCAATGATAGAGTAAAGGTGTCAAGTTGCTCTGCATCTGCAGCCTGGACAATTTTCTAGTTAATGTTTTATTGAACTGCTCGTTAGAATATCATCGATTTCGTTGTAACGATTACGCATCGCAATCATTCGGTATACATTTTATTACTCGTTATGTGCAACAATTTTATTTGTCCTTGAGAAGCTCGTTAGCATAATTGTTCTTTTACAGACACCGACCAAAATATCACGATTTACAAGCTCGTTTAGTGATTTATGCTTGCAAAAAGTCGAGCCTCGATAAATACTCATCGATCGCGAATGCATTTTAACGAATACAATAACATCCAAGATTTCGTTTTTCCTTACTTAAACGGGACAGGTCGTACGCGATCGTTGCAATCACGGCGTCTACGCGTACAGATCACCCGGTTTCGGTATACAAAGTTTCGCTGGCCAACACGTTGAAAAATCGAAAACCGTCCTGACTCGAAGCAGATCGAGCCGACAGTCGCGTTTGGTAGTCGTTTCGCGCGGCTCGTTTCGTCCGCGAGGAAACGGGAATTACAAATGAACAATCTCAAAGCAAACTGCATAAATTAGTTATCCATTAACCGCCACGCGTTTCTCAGAAACAGCTGCGTGAAACCACCCACGCGAACGCTTCGTCCATTCTTGTTTCACGCTCCGAAAACCAACAAATTTTGCCTCGTTTCTATCGTCGCATCACCTCGAAGAAGTGCTTCGTACGACACAACAATCGTGAACGAATCAAACATTTCGCGTTTTCCGGAGAAATGTGAAAATGCGTTTGCCCTGAGAATCGCATGAGGATTAACGAAGACGAAGTTGCATCGAAGATACTGCGGCACGCTGTTCGAAGAAAGTGATCCGCGAAAATTCGTATAAAAATCAACAACGTGTTTGGTAATAATGCCGAACGAAATCACGAACGCTGTGACAGGCGTTGAATCGGTCGAAAACAACATAATCTCTTTTAATCTCTCGCACGTTGATTCGTGACGCGTGCACAAAATATACCGCTTGTCTACTAATGAGAAATACAAATGTCAGTGTAAATCGCGCGTTGGCTTTCGCGTTCGAACCGAATAGGAAGGAATTCGCTGTTCCGCGAAATTAGGGACAACAAGGAATCTTAGGTCCGTGTAATTCCGACGTGTGTAGCTGTGAAACAACGTGAAACATCGATGAACAATGTGTATATGTGTTCGAGTTTTAGAATGCGCTATGAGATCGATCGTGATACGTCCCCGACGGCGATCGCAGTCGATTCAATAAAGTGACACGTAAAGGTTACGCGCCGTTGTAAAAGCCGCCAACGATTACAGTGCCGGCAAGGGACAACAGGGTGACGAAGATTCGGGGTGAGAGGCCGGTCGAGGTGTTGCAAGCGTCCTGCATACAAAGATCGCAGTGTTCCAGGCTGGACGAGTCGTCGTTCATTTTCCCTTGTATCGCCTTGCAGGGATCGATGGTTTCTGTCTTCCGTGTCTGGCAGTTTCTCACCGTGACCTCTTTCTTGTTAACTATCAACAAATTCGATAAAACAGTAGCAAGTTCTGCCGCACTTGTGATCTACAACGTTTATATTCCATGCTTCAACAAATGTAATTATGCTTAATCGTACATATAATTGTATCTACCAAAATATTATTGTTCCTTGTATAAAATCGTTCCACTATTCTAAACAGACTGTTATAATGAAATATTATGAAATTAATACGTTTAAATAATCTAAAACGTGACAATTCTCGCGAATAAGTATTTTAGCATTTTTCTGCGGTATTAGACATGCCCTCTAATTTTTCTTTTCGAGTTTCGTGCTTTAAAAGAGAAATCTTTTTAATTATTCATTTCCGGGAATATATTTCGGCAGAAAGATCACTCAAATTCGATGAAACAATAGCAAATTATAATGTATTTGTAAGTTCCAATTTTATATTCCAAGCTTCAACATAAATAGTTAAGTGGTTCTTTCTTGATAGAATCGTTCTATTGACTCTGACGAACAAATTTTTATAGTTTAATATTGCATTATAAGCGTGCAAATGTGTTAAAAAAAATGGTCGAAGTGAATAGCGTATCCAAAACGTGACAATGTTTAAGAACAAGTTTTTTTAGCACATTTCCGCGATATCGGACGTGTCTTTCGATTTTTCTCATTAGACTTGTCGGTTACGAAATGAAATGTCTTGATTCATTTATTTCAAAAGAAAGTCCTCTTGATCGTTAACTATCAACAAATTCGATTAAACATATAACGCAACTGCAAACAGTAATGTTCTTGTAATTTCCAACTTTATATCTCAGGTTTAGATAAAAATTGTTATGCAGTTGTTCCTTACGTAGAATTGTTCGATTGATTCTCCTCAAAAAAATGTTGTCGTTTAATATAACATCGTGAACGTGTATAAAGTGTCGATATCAAGGCTCGAATAATCGTATCTTCTCTTCCCAAATTGTCCATTTTTGTGCAGAATTCGAGCGCGAATTAAGGAGAAATTATTATATATCTTTAAGATTAGAGATAAAGTGAGAGTTTCGAAATTCGTGGTCATGGATGCCAAACAAATTTGTTGTTTCGAAGAGATTAAGAATATAATTTACCCTTCAAGACCATTTTCGCGCAGGCCATCGGTCCAACGTGCGGGTATTTGCTTGAGTGGTCCACGTCGAAGATGTGCGATATCACGTTCGAAACGTTTTGCTTTTGAAGTGTTCGTTGAAAATCGTACATGTGGGTTAAAGTACATTCGAGGAGTTCGATGTTGTGTGCTTTTGGATCGCTGACACAGTGTGGTTCCGTGAGTGAGGTGCACATATAGCATTTCAAATCATCTGCGACACAAAACAAAATCACAATTACGTCACTTCGAGACACTGATCATACGCGTTGACATTTTCTTTGTAATAAGTGTAAACACTTATTTGTCAAAGAAATTTCGTGGTAAAATAAAAATATCTACATCCGAATCGTTTCGATAAAGAAGACTCCTGTGAAAATTACTATTTTATTTATCTTAGATGGGTACCAGTTAGGCAAATTTTCGCAAGAAAAAAAAACAATAAAACGTCAACGACCTTCAAACACATATTCGCACAATATTTTATACCGCTGCAATAAAAATGAAATTAATCGATCGAATGCGAAAATACATTTTAAAGATTTAGAAGATCCGTATTTTATGCGTGAAAGAAATTGTTGAAAGTCGAACGATTAAATTAAATAATAAATCGAACCTCGTCGAGCAATGAAATCTCGATGATAACAATTTAATAATAATAATTAAACCTCGATACTGCGAAATATTTCGATATTTCCTGGCACGTATGGATTTATCAAGCGCTCGCAATAATTCTAGATAAACGTAAAATGGAAACAAAGAGATGCTCCTCTGCTTCTTTATGAAAGCAATGTGTTCCAACTAAAATGGAAAGCCTCTCCGATGCATCGCGTCCTTCGTTTCAGTCGTTGAAACATATAATAAACAGAACTCGTAACACCCTTTACAAAAATGGATTCCTGGAGAAACGCGAGAGCCATTTTTCCAGATTATAGTCCATTTCAATTCAACGATTCTTTGTTTCCCGGGAGAAATAAATAATCCGCTCCCTGTGGCGCCTGGTAGTCGCTTCAACAACGTCGGACTCCCTTTTGGCCATCACATAATTCCACCTAGCCAATACAGCGTGGTCCCGTTTCCCGAGGGTCTCCATAAGCGAGACTGCGTTTTCAGTGTCCCTTCACGGTTGCTTTTTATCGAGCGCCGTCACATAAATCATCGGAGCATTTTTCTTTTCGCGCAAGCACGATACATTAGTGTACGAACTTGTACCGGTTGAACTGATGTCTTCGGAAATGAACAACGATCGCGGCATAGCTCTTGCAAATTCAGCGAGAATTATTGAATTGGCAAACCGTAAAAACAAGCGAGAATTTATGAACGTTTGATAATTATGCTCGTAAATAGACTGCGAGTTTTACGCATTTGTGACAAACACGAGTAGATTAAATACGAAATGGTAAAAATATACGCGAAGAATTTCGAAGTGCTGTTGTATTATTTTTGACTTGAAATTGTCTATTTTGCAGTTGGTGCAGACATATTTTATGCTATCAAATTACTAAACTATAATGACAAGAAACGAAGTAGGGTAATAATTTGAGATTCAGTGAAACGACTTTAAAATATTTCGATCAATGAATTTCTCGATCGATCGATTAAACAGCATAAACGTGAGCACAGAATTGTGGTAAATTCTTTGAGTTATTGAATATGTTAAATTAATATTGTGTACAAATTTTCAAGAGACGCTGTTTATTTGACTATAAAGCAACAAGTATAATTCAGCGCAGCTAATTTCCGTTTATAAATATTATGGCACACGATACGTGAAAAAGAATATACGGTGCAATTAGAAGTATATTTCAGATCCAATTTGAACGCTTTAGAGTTAAGAATGAAAGATCTATTTTTCGTACACGTTTCATTAATGCAAGTAAAATTAATCAGTAATTTATATTTTATATTTAGCACAGATTGTAGACTTTTTACGTTGTTTCTTATACAGTATATTTCGTTAAAAAACGTTAGATAACGTAATCTAATATTGCTCGTGCATTCGACTGTGACAAATGAACGAAATGCATTTTTTGAAAATCTGGTTCCGAAGCGGATAAATTAACATTTCGCTTCTTTAAAATATTCGAAGCAACCGTGACGGCGACGTAAACTGTTTTGCTGGGGCGATTTTATGCTATACTAACGATGTTGATTCTCGGTATTCGAATATATCCGTGAACCGGAGTATGTAGTTATTATTTGGGTCGCAGCGTCGTGGCGCCAAAAGTCGCGACGCGACGCCACTTGCATCCCCCAAGCACCGGCTAGTCGCAGTTCGACAAACTGCACTTAACCCACTATCCCTCTGTTTTCAAGTAAAACGCAACGGACCAGAGATATATGAAATTTCAAATTCCGACGGCTTCTTACGATTTTCTGTAACCAGCAGTTTGCACCGGTGTAACAAAACAACAGAAACTACTGGAAAGTTTTGCAACCCTCGTACGCTCTTCAGAAATAGTTTCACGACAGATCCTACGATAATGCTTCTCCATTTTAACTTACTTTGAAACAACGCGTTGCGGTTTCTTCGCAGTTACACGATGTAAAGAAATTCATCTTGGAACGTATACTGAAAAAGATCCGACATTTTATCGTACTCGGAAGAACACATTAGAACAACAAGCTGCGGTTTGTTTGCGATTAAAGAATTTGAAGAAATTCTTCTTACCAAGAGGAACGTACGATGGTTGATCGAGTCGAATCGAGTTGATCGAATCAAGATAAGGAAATTTAGCAGCACGCTCTATACATTCGCTTTTATCGTAACGAAAACGTAACGAAATTAATAGTTAAATTTGTTCAGAACTAGAAGCATCGCAGCAACTAAAATAATTGTACCACGACTGTATCAACAGGATAGTAGGAAACAGGAGATGGTGCAGCAAATACGGCAGACAATAATAAACTGTGCAAATTGTACGGTAAAAATAAACCGCAAACCAAAAACACTGAATATCTGCAATACACTGAGTTGAGAAGAGGAGTTTTGTAAAATCGAGGTAGCCAGCAGCGGATCAGGGAAATAAATGTGGGAAATAACGAATTTCGAACAGGAAAGTAAGACAAGTGCGAACGTTTTGTCCTAAAATAATAATAAAAGAGAGAATTCTGAGTAATAATGCATAATTTTTATACTGTATTAATTTCAAAATGATTTCGAGCGAAGCCGATTGTGCTAAAAACACAAAATCTTGTGTTAAAAATGCAGAATATCAATTACTAAATGTAACGTAGAATCTTGATCATATATACAAAGTACAACTAAACTCCTGTGCATTTAAATTAAATGTTTTCGAAAAGACTAGAAATTTTGATGATCATATATAGATAGAATTATTTTCATAAGAAATTAAATTATATTCATTAAGAAATTGTGTCTCGATCGCGAGCGCATCGAGGTTATCAACTGCGATGTTCCTTGTTCCATTAAGTGGCTAACTAGCTAACTTGTCATTACGTTAATTTTAAAGAATTGACCACAACTTGACCTGGCTTAATCACTCGCCACCATGAGAAAATTCGATGAACCGGATCACATATGTTGCAATTAAAAGATCGTGTGAAAAATCTGCGCTTGGTAAACCGTGAGCTCGTATATCTTACAGATCCAATAATTAAATCATGAATCTGCTAACACTAGATTGCTGGAGCAAGCCAATTTCACTCATTTACGATTTTATTGCTATGTATAGAGAAAAACTTAAATTAAATAACTTTTTTAAAACGTATGTTGGTCATAATTCTATTAAAAACCAACATATGTGTTAATAAGAATTATTTAAGTTAAATAAATTTATATATATATAATTAATATATTATTATATATATATATATATATATATATATATATATATATATATA